GTTGTCGGGTGAACCCGATGGCAACGGCATGTTGGGGAGTTGGAACACTCAGGACAATCACTGAGTGCCGTCATAATATGAATTCATAGTGTTTGTCAAGTTGGGGGCCAAGGTTGATCTCGGAGAGCGCACATCGATCGTTCGCGTCGCAGGGGTTGTGATTTGTCTAAGTCAAATCCAAGAAAGCAACTGTTCGCAGTGGCACAGGGGAAGTCAAGGCTTGTCAGCTTTGAATGCGATGAACGTGTCATGTGGCTCAAAAGCAGTGAAGCACGCTCGAACACCCTGATCATCAGAGTGTAAGTGCACCTTTGCCCGTACCTGTGTGTTAAAAGGTGGGTCAGCAAAAAGTCTGATCCAATGTCCATGTCCAAGAGCGCTCCAGTGTCTAAGGAAGCGTATGACTCGCTAAAGGAGCTCATGAAGTCCGGCCAGCTTTCCAGTGTCCTTGCCCAGGTTAAAGATGAAGTTGATGCTGAACTGGATGCCGCCTTTGAGCCCTCGTCGTATGGAAGCATGCATGATGGTTCAAAACGCCGCCTGTGCTCCAATGAGTCAGCTCGCGACCATGGCTTCGAGATGGTGAATGCCTCTTCCGGACCCATGCCATCATCAACGACAGTTCATCATGCGATGGGAATGTCCGAGAAACACCAGAAGCCGATCCCACCAGGAAAGGCCAGTGGCAAAGAGAAGGCCGTGGTGTTGCCAAATGGCATCAGCTCCTTGACCGAATGGGGAGCCACCATCTGCACCTTGCCCAAGGTCAAGAGTCAACACCTCCGCTACCACGAGATGCTGACGATGAGCCATGAATCGAAGGACATGTGCAGCTACCTGCAGTGGGTTCGCACCTCCGGCATTAGCTCCGCCAAGGTGCAGGACCTGAAGTCCTATATGGAGGCAATGAATTTCACGCCAGGCCCTTCGTCAAGCAATGTGACCTATCCTGGCACGCAGATCGTTCGCGAATTTTGAGATTCCTAGGAGTGTGAATCGTGACATGGCCGTATGAACCGCAGGAACCCGATTGCTCAGGCATAAAACGGGCGCCGGTGCGATGCCCCAGGTGGGGCTACCGCTGCTACATATATATATATATATTTGTAGGCTTGTGTGCGCAGGTTCCCCTTGCAAGCGCCGGCTTCTTAAATACACTTGACAAGGTGTACCTCCACAACCAAGAATCGCTCGGCGCGCAGCTTCAATGGGCGCAGGACCTAATGACCTCATGGAGTGAAATGGACCGCCTCTGCCTAGACACACTCACGGCGTGCTTCGCACACGAGACGGCCTGTCTCACAGGTCCGCTGCGGTCGCCCCCGAGTGCGCGCACGAGCCGGCCTCTGGATTCCGCCTCAGCTGGAACTGACAAAGCAATCGATTACCTGGTCAGTGATTTTACTTGAGAAAAACATTGGCTTAAACATATACAAGCATAGACCCCAAGCGGCTTCAAAACGATTCGTTTAGACCAATGTTAGTCAAAAATCGATTTCTTGGTACGCCCTACTTTCACCCCAAGAGCAAACTGCTTCATCAATGAATTTTTGTCGGCATTGACATCGCTATTTGTTCGGCCACACTCCTCTCCAGTAAGCCGGGCCACAGAGACCAGCCACAGAGTTCAGGGGCGCGGCCAAGACAAGGACAAGAGGAGGACAAGAAGAGGACAAGGCCCAGCCACAGAGCCCAGCCACAAAGGACAAGAGGAGAGGCCTGGACACAGAGCCCACCCACAGGAGGACCAGGCCTGGACACAGAGCCCAGTCACAGAGGACAAGGTGAGGACAAGGCCTGGACACAGAGAGAACAGAGCCCAGCCACAGAGGACAAGAGGAGGACAAGGCCCAGCCACAGAGTTCAGGGGCGCGGCCAGTGAGTGTGGCCAGCTCTTTTTTCTAAGATAGAACCCCAACAGTAAACTGTTTGGGGAAAAATCGTTGTTCTAGAAGAGTGCCATTTAAAAATGGTTTCTTGCTTTTCAGCGCATACCTGTCTACTGGGTACCACCAGCCCAGCCTGGTCCGGAAAGAAAACTGTCCGGACTTGGTCTTGCGCGGCTGGCCAAGTGAAGCGAGTTCGAACATGCAGATCCTACTAGGTACATCAAGTTTTGGGGCTTCGTGCAAAAACATGTTATAATGTAATGCATTGCGCACCTTCATGAGAACTCCTGTTCCAGCTTGTTTTCTTTTGACGTCTGAGAAAAATGGCCAGGTCGGTGCAGCAGTCGGGAGCGCCTTGATGTAGAGACTTCACGGCAGGCGCAGTGCTTATTGTGTGCACCTGGATGTGCAGATTTTGTGGCAGTCACAGTGTTTAACGCTTGCTTTTGCGCGTGTTGCTCTTATGCGCGTGCTCTCAAATGTGAAGCTGTTTGGGGTCTATGCTTGTGTATTTTAAATCAAGGTTGCGTCAGGCACCCCCCATTCACGCGGTCAATCATGCTCATGATCGATGTTCCAAAATGAAATCGCTGTGTTTGGAATGTTGGAAATCGTTGATTTCACCCTGCTGCAAGGCGAAGGTCAATGTTTTGAAATGTGCACACTACTACTTTGCAACTTTCTGGTTTAAAAAATGTCCTTTTGTAAATGAAACTTTCTTGGAGATAGCTTTTGGTTTTAGAACGCATTGTGTCTACCAACCAATAGTGGACATCACTTCGAAACCTCATACCCGAGCATCCCCGAGGACTCTAAGCAGGGCACTGCGCCGGAGTACACGAGCGAGGGTATGTAGCTTTCAATCAAGGATGCCATCCTTAACACGCGTCCCCAAAAATAGAGATACTTTCGAGACTCGAGGTAGGTAAAAATCTCACCTGCGGGATGTGGAGGGGGGAATTAGCTCCAGGGATCAGGGTGCTCTGAGCTTTCTTCCCAAGGCGAAACCATGCACAAAAATTAATTTGTTTATTTTACATGCAGAATTGACGGCGTTAAATTTTACCCTTTGGAGGCATATCCGCAAAAGACCACTGTGATTGTTTGACCAGCATCGCAACAGCGCTTGATGCACGTGGTTACAATCATTTTGCGTCCATCAGTCCACGGATCTTGCCACCCCCAGGGTTCTGGATGGATTCTCTCAAAACATTGTGCATCGTAGAAAACAATAAGTTTTGCTTGCTCGCAGGATACTTGCGCAGGCACCGAACACTAGCGTGTTGGCATACTGATCGAGAGAGGTATTGACTGCCCGGATCTCGACAAGCTCTCTCACCATGGATCGCCAACGCGCACCCCCAGAAGGATGCAAGGACGATGCGAACTTGTCTATTCATTTTGAACTTTTGGCCTTGTGGATGAAACGACTCACCTAGTCACTGAAGATGAAGCCTAGATTCTATATATAGACTTTTCTTCCTCCTGGCTTAGGATGAATCCTGGATCTTCTCTTAAAGACAATCCCAGACCATCTATAGGACGGAATCTGGAGGAGGTTCCGGAGCAGGATCCAGAGAAGGTTGCGGAGCTAGTTCCGGAGCAGGTTCCGGCGCAAGGCGGGTTCCGGAGGTTCCGGCGGACAAAGTCCCAGAGTCCCGGAGCAGGTTCCGGAGGTTCTAGAGCAAGTTCCGGAGTAGTTCCGGAGGGCTGGGCTTCCTGGAAATCTTTGGCTGTGAGCCCGCTGTGAAAAGGTAGGCTTCGCATCCATGAAGCTTTCAAGAGCGCGCAAGGTGTTTCTAGCTGGACTTTCCTTGGGCTTATGATCTTCTGCTCTGGCACGACGTCAGAAAGTTTTGCGGCGTCCAGCCTGACGAGCAGTCTGGCGGGCAGGAAGAGGGCGGAGAACGTGTGGATGCTGCTTGTGGTGATTTTGGCTCGGCTGCCTTGGCGGAAGAAAGATGTAACTGCGGCTCTGGGGATTGGATTTGTTGTTGATCATAAGCTCCTTCATCATCGCTTAAGCAGAGCCCAAGCAAAATCTGGCACGCATGTCTGGGTATGTACGGATGTCAAGGTGAGAGGTAAAGATGTGCAGATGTGAGGGAGAGATGTCGTGCAGATGTGCAGATGTGCATGTCTTCAATATGTGCAGATGTGAAGATGCCCGGATGTGAAGATGTGCATGTCTGGATATGTGCGGAATTAAGTGGAAGTTGTGATGATGTGTGATGCAGTGACGCACCCATTTTTTAGAAGAGCCTTTCGCGCGTTCTGGGGAAAAGAGAATGCAAAAAAACACATTTATGTTTTTCGAAAAGGTTGACGAACACCTCTGGGCAAAAAATGGTTGAAAGGGCAATTGTATAGTTCCAAATGGGATTTTGAAAGGAAAACAACATCTATATATTAACATCGGCGCAAAGGCATTTTTAGGCAAACAAAAATCATACAACATTGAAAAACTGCAGCTTAAACATTATACTGTAGGATTTGATGAAACATACGTACCTAGAACACTGCAAGGACGGCTATCGCTTGGGGAACAAACGCAAGAAAACAAAAATCCAGAAACACAAAGTTGAGTGGCAAAACATGCTTAAAAGGTAAGACATTGCCAATTTGTTGAAGCTATATTTGGCTGTCGTTATAGGTACTACTGTCAGTGGTGCATGTCCCAAAAGAATTAACGCTTTGGGGAAGGAAACCCTATTGGCAACTTTGGTGATCACCCAACAGGCCTGCTTGTGATCGTCATGCATCAATATTTAAACACGCTGTTCGAGGGTCAGGTCGATGATTTTTGGCGTTGATAGTTGGAGCTGGGCGGATGTGTGGGATCTGTTTTGAGTGTGGGTGGATTTGGACTTCTGCGCGCGTAGTCTTTTTTTGCCGGTGTTGCGGCACAAACTTTGAGATGCACAGCCTGATCCTGCAGGAGGATCAATGAGGCAGTGGTTGTTTGTGAGCTAGCTCCAAACGTCAACTCTGCAAGCGTGTGGCGAACAGGAAGGAACCAGTATTTGGGGCACTTGGGGTGTGTTCCTTTAAATAAAACACATCGTGGAAGGGATTTTTCCCGGGTTTGACGGTCCTTGTAAGCAATGGCAGGACCTCAAGAGCCTGGACGAAGGTCAAGGTGCCGTGCTCTTGGTCGCCACACCTGGACGTTTGCAAAGTCACGCCCCTTGGTGGCCACACCGAAGGGAAGGCGGATGGGGGGACGGCGGAGCTCGATCGGGGGCGAACGCGATGTGGGGCGATGTGGGGGATCTCCTCCGCGGGCGTCCAACCTTCGGTTTCACTCGTGTCTTCGGGCCCAAGCAGGGCTTGGTTTTTGCCCAGAGGGGTTTCGGTCGAACACCGCAAGAAAGCAAGCAAGAGACGCGTTCCGAACGGCCGTTCGGTGGGTCAGAGCGGTTTTGTTCTCTACAAGTAGCTTTGAGTTCACGTCGTCCACGTGTGTTTGGGTCACATCATTGGTCACCATTCGGGACACAAACATCCATGGTTAGATTCAGTGTTTGGGACGCAAGCAGCCCGCACCACCGACCTGACCACCGTTTCTGCGTTTCAGTTGATGTTAAGCACCATATGACCATATGAAATCACTAGCTAAATGCCAACGGCATGGTCTCCCGACGTGCCTGGATTCCTCAGGTCGCCAAGACCGAGGGTTTTGCCGCGCGGCTGCGACGCGTGCGGATCCTGGTGCTGGATGAGGTGGACCAGCTCGCCAGTGTGCCTTGCTTCGGCTGATGTGTGCGTGTTCGTTGGTTCGTTCGTTCGGTGGTGCGTGCGCGTTTGGCGGCGTGGCGTGTTTCTTTTGGTTCATCAGGCGATGAATGCATGTGGCATGCCTCAGGTTTCCTGAAGTCCACCGCAGGGTGCATTTAGGTCAAACATGAAGAACACAGATGTGTGTGTGTGTGTGTGTGTGGAGATCTGGCCTTTGCTTCTTCTCAGCCTGGCAGAGACCAGAGACACCAGAGGCCTGAACAGATGGACCAGTGCTTCGAAGTCCGCGCTTCTCACCTCGCCCGCGACGAGGAGACGTTCCGGGCTGCGACGCTGGAGATCGCGGCGGCCCTTCCCCCGTGCTCCGAGCGGCAAGGCGCGGCCTGCACGGCCGGTCTGCGCGGCCGGCAGCGGCCCACCCGACCCGTCCTCCCAAATCCCAAAGCGATTTCAGGAAGAACTCGGAATTAGTAGACTCGTCTAGCAAACCCCCCCCATCGGTTGAAGGCTTTGGGACCCATCCAACTCAAGAGTTTGACGTCCATCGCGACTCGCCAGTGGGTCGTGTCGTGTCGTGTCTAACCAGCGTGGAAGGTCGGGTCGACCAGTCGACGTCCGAAGCACACGGGTGCATGAGTGGAAGGTGGGTGAGTCGTCATCCGTGGGCACAGTCATCCGTGGTCATCCCGGAGGCTTTTCGTTCAAATTCCCTTGGGTTTTTTCGTTGGAATCGGACACGATCTCTACAAGTTTGGCTTTACGTCCTTTGCTTGGATGCTGGGCTCAGTGCGCCCGCGAAAGCTGCCCCAAATACACCAAAAGCCATCCCCTTGAAACCGTCCAATTCCCACCTAGCCCTTGGTTTTATTACGGCTTTCACACTCCAAAAGCGAACGGGGTCATACCATTCTATTCGTCTGAACGATCGGCGTCTCGGCGTCTCAGGCGGGACTCGACCGGGACTCGGACCGCACCGAACTCGCTCAACCGGTCGTGCGGGGTTCGGGGTCGTGGACGGCGAGTTCGGCGGGGTCCGATCCTTATAGAGCTCCCATCTGATCCCTTCGAGACTGAAGAGACCTGCAACTCTTCGGTTCCGGTTCGGCCACCAGGGCCCCGAGGGTCACCGGGCGAGGCCTCTTCTATTCCGCCACGGTGTCGGATGCCGTGCACGGCCTGGTGCGGCAGATCGGGCGCGGGGACGGCCTCGCCTTCGTGGACGCCGCGCGGCTGCTAGTAGTGAGGGCGGCTGCTAGTAGTGAGGGGTGAGAGGGCTGCTAGTAGAAAGGCTGCTGTTAATTGGTATAGTAATTTTTGAGTTGATGAGTGCGAACAGGAGAGAGGGGAGGCCTTCAAACTGCTACAAATGGTCCTGGACGAGCTTGGACGAGTTTTGGGGAGGCTGTCAGGAAATAGGATGGATTGAGAACTGAATCACTTGGGAAGAGATTTCTTGGAACCAGCTTGGACTGGGAAAGATGTCCCAAATCTGCCGAGCCCACTCCCACCGGAGTTGTCCTCAGCGGAGGTGATCCAGTCGGATGAGGTCGTGGTGCCAGAGCACATTGACCAGTGTCTGTGTTGGATTGAGAAGGTTTTGACCCTTGTCCTTTGCGCAACCCTTTTTTTGACAAGGTGGAAACGGAAACGATTATATATCCCAGTTGGCTATAGTCGGCTGGCAAGACAATGCAACCACCAACCAGGTATTACTCGCTGGTTCCCACAGAACGAATGACCGAGTGCTTGTGGCGATTCCTGCAGTCGCACGCCAAGCCAGACTTCAAGGCGGTGGCTTGAAAGAACATTTTGGTCTAGAGTCCAAAGTAGATCCATGGTAGGTGAAGATCGCCAGTAAGTCTCTGTTTCAAGGATCGTCGGGTGCGCACATAAGTGGTCGCAAAGTGCTCCCCCTGCTTGTTGACACGTACCTCACCGAACCTAGGATAAGGATTCGTTAGCTTCAAGGTTTTTCTGCACCTTCATAAGGGGAATTCCGGCGTAGGTGATGGGGACTTGGGTCTGCAGCCATTGTGTTCAACTCTCAACTGCCACCTGTCCAGTCTTTGGATCTGTGATCCGCTGGTGCCTCCGCACGTGCCTCCGCACGCTTCAGCCTTCAACACCCCGGCGACGCTTCAGCCTTCAAGTCCGGTGTCAGGCTGTCGGTTCTCGTTTTGAGGGACGCAGTTTTTTCTGCCCATCTGGCACCTGTGCCCAAGTCCAACTGTTTACCAGATCGGCTTCCAAAGCTGCGGACGGCTGGCTAGCGTCCGCATCCTCCAATGAGTCATGCTGTGGTTATTCCAAGTTCTCAACTATAGCCAGACGAACCAGGGTGATGGGGGTGTAGACATCAACGGGCCACGGAAAAATCCTTGGTTTCGGCCGAGGTGGCCATCTTCATGACGGGCCGGATCGCCGCCTATTACGCCGAAGCCTTCCGGAAAGCAGGCGGGGACAAGAGCTGAAGCACAGGTGAGGGGGGTTGACAAGCCAAACCACTCTCAACGCCTTCAAATTGCAACATTTCCAAGACCAAACTGAGTTTGTAGCTGAACATTTTTGGGCTTTGATGGTCGTCTTTTTGGGAAGCACGTGTTCTTTGTAGACCCTACCAGGCAGCCCTAGCAGCTATAGCACCAGAGAACTGGGCACATTCCGAGTCAGTGGTGTCTTGAAATGAAGGAACCTCCAAACCACGCTTGTGAACAGTGAACATTGAATGGCTTGGCTTCAACAACACCAGCTGCGTTGGTTCTTGATGTTCTTGATTCCCGGAATGTCACCCCCCAGAGAATCCAAGCATTGAACATGCCCTGATGCCCTGGGCGCGCACTCCTTGGATCGGCCCGCTTTGGTCGGAGCGCCGCTGGTCGGACGGCTTATTGGCCGTCCAGCATTTCCGTGGGGTGGTGCCAATGCCAGGAGCCCCGAACGTAGCTTCTTGTTCCTAGTAGTAAGGCCAGGAGCCCCGATCGTAGCGTCCTTGCTCCTAGTAGCGATGCTTGCTCCTAGTAGTAACAGGAATTCTTTGCCTCATGGCAGGAACAGATCTGGCGGTCTTCGAGATTCATGCAAGGAGGAGCCAAAAGCAGAGGACAGGTCCTGGTCCTGGTGCGAACACTCGAGCGTGAGGGGAATGGCCAACTGCTCCTTCCTCTTTGTGGCAATGGGTCCTGTGCAGTGAATTTGGGGAGCTTTTCTTAGAGATCCTAGTTTTGCCGATGTTTTCTTTCACGGAATAATCAGTTGCCTTGCAGACGCATTGTGCATTTTTGGGGGGTTAGATCATGAGTGTTTGTTGCTTCTAAATGTTACAGGCTTTGAGGGACTTCTAAGCTGCTTAGACGCACATGCTGCTTTCTCCCATTTAGCCAGGCATGTCAGATGTTAGGCTTATATATGCCTCTTCTGGCGAAGTGTAGTCTCCACTTGCTGAGCCTGTGAGGGCAGCGTTGGGGCGTTGAGTGTTGGTCTAGTAACCAACAGTTGATGAATAGATGTTGGACTTGTGGCGCAGGCGCTTAACAAGACAAAGTCTTCAATAAGGGTGCTGTTTTGTTTGTTTGTTTGTTTGTTGGTTGGTTGGTTGGTTTGGTTTGGTTTGGTTTGTTTGTTGGTTTGGTTTGGTTTGGTTTGGTTTGGTTGTTTGGTTTGGTTTGGTTTGGTTTGTTTGTTGGTTTGGTTTGGTTTGGTTTGTTGGTTTGGTTTGGTTTGGTTGTTTGGTTTGGTTTGGTTTGGTTTGTTTAGGTTTGTTTTGGTTTTGTTTTGTTTGTTTGTTTGTTTGTTTGTTTGTTTGAATATCGGAAGCAGACGTGGAAGGAGGCGACTTTTTAACCGAACCTGTTATTCTGACCACGAGTCGTTGAGGGTCTATGTTTGACGCATACAAACACTGCGCATTTCTGTTTGAGCAATCGGGAGCCTACCTGAGTCACCCAACAAGAACACATAAAACTCAATGCTTCAAAGCGGTGTGTTTTCAGAGGGTCTCTTTTCCAGGGTGTGCTCGTTGATCACATGGGTATGTCTCATCGATGACTCTCTTGCGAACCCGCGAGGGACGCAAACTGGGGTAGCAAAGTCAAGGAGTCGTCCGCGAACAACGAGGCAATGATTCTATAAAGTGTGCAACTACCCAATACTACGGACAACTGGCAATACAGATCCCTTTTGACACATGTTTACCTCAGGCCATGTAGGAGGGCATCGATATGTTTCCTTCCAAGCACTTCCCGAACACTTTTTCCACGACACGCATCCTGCCTTCGAATCGGATCGGTGGCCCTCCCGGTCACTCGTCACCGGTGGCGACCCGGGGGGCACCGGGGTCGCACTTCCGCGGGGAGGACCGAGGAGTCGGAGCGCTTCCGCGCGGCGGAGCGGGGCGTGCTCTTCACCTCGGACGTGTCCAGCCGCGGCCTGGACTACCCAGGCGCCCTACGGTGCGCCGGTTCACGGTTCGGCTCCGCTGGGGGGGGGGTTCGGGGGGGGGGGGCGGAGGGGGGTGACTTCGGCGGCGGTGGTTTGGAAGCAGGTGGGGAGAGGAGGGGGTTTCGTCAGGTTTGGGTGTTGGGAAGTGGGTTCGGTTTTTGCTGTGTGGGGTTGATACAAAGGATTGGGGCCTGAATTTTGGAAGTACAGTATCGATATTTCAAGGATTTTGAGCTTCCGGTCATCCCCTCGGTGCGGGTATTGGACATGTGACATGTTGATGTTCCTGCGTTAGTTCCAGCTACCCCAAATACACAGCTGTTTTGTCACATCTGCATGACTCTATGCAACGGCCTGACATTTTTTCTTCTGGAACTCCATAGGCTTAGCCGTAGTGGATTTGGCCAGAGGAACAAGCATGTCCGGAATTCTCAGGTTCTGGCGGAAATCGCATGTCTGTGTTTGATGGCGCAAACTCTGCACCCGTTCCGAACAATGGTACCTCCTTGTACAAGTTCTTGCAGCGATTGGGTAGGTTGTGTTCTACACCTTTCGTTCACAGTGGACGGCCAAACGGTTTCGCAACTCAAGGATCGTATGCACTAGTGCCTAATGAAGGCCCTGGATGCATGTCGCCATCAACATGTAGAGGATGATTTTCCTGGACGTTCCTCCAACGCACGCAGACTTATTTGCCACATCAGCTATTACTTTCCGCGACACACGGCGTAGACGAGCAACAAGAATTGTTGGGGTTTGTTCTATTTCACCTACAGCAAAGGTAAAAGGTGGTGTTGCCCTATGTGTTTGGTCAACATTAGAAATTAGCTAGAGAGAAACAACAGGGACCCTTAACCAGCCTTAAGAACGAGATTGCAGCTAGAAGGACTCTACTGGTGCAGCTAGAGAAAGAACAGTCTGACTGAGGGTGCCAATCGACCTGGTTCCATGTTCGTTTTCGGGAGTGTAGTCCACGTAGGCCGTCGGAAGATGTGCTTTCCTGGAATTTCTAGTAGGAACGCCTCGCACTACATAGACGACCAGCAAGCAATTCCTACTAACACCAACACCTTGATTGCCCAAATCTTGCCCCGAAGATGGTTAGAGCTCAAAACACAGGACCCAGGCTTGTGTGGCTGCAGATGTTTGACTGGTTTCCAATTCCCGCCAAGAGTCAGTTACACTTTCCTTGTTTCGCAATCCGATTCCCGCCAACCATCATCGTTCGTTCACATGTTGTTTGTGGTAACTGATGGGATACATGCAAGCGTGCGCTTGTGCCACCTGGGCGGAATCGTCCATGTCCAATCTTCATGTCGCCGAACTCCAGTTGCAGGTGTGACGCATGTGGTACAGATGGGCGCAGCACACTCCAAAGCAGCATCTTTGGCTAGGGTAGGGAAGAGACGATACTTCAGGGTGCGCGGGGTGATGGGATTGCAGAGTCAGCCAATTGCCAAGATAAAATGGGTTGTTTGTAGCAAGAATATCAACATTTCCACTGCAAGGCAGTGACCGAACTCTAGACTCAGCCGAAGACCTGATAACCACTATGTGATTGCTGTGGGGTGCCCACATATGTTGCAAGCGCGACAAAGCCGCAACAAGCAAGAACGGTTTTGAATCAACGCCACGTGTTCGCTGCGCCGGCTCGAGCCAAGCAGGCTCGGACGGCTGCGTGCTGGATCGTTTTGTGCTACAGTTGTGCGATTCTTTGTCCCTGAAGGAGGCAGCCCATCCTTGGTTTCTTGCCTGGCTTCTTTGACCAACCCAAGCGGGGTCAGTCGCTTGCGCAAGAAAACCGCGCCCATGTGACGCCCTTGAAGGTCAAATTCTTGACGGCGATCCTGCGGGTGGACATGGGCGTCTACAACAAAGAGGGTGAGCGCGGGCAAAGCTCACTTGATGGTTGTGTTGTTTGTTGCGTTCCTTCTCGTCGCGGGCTTTTTGCAGGCCTTTTGGACAGCACCAACAGAGGCCCAAAATGCTACCCTCAGCGGCAAGATGCGGAGAGGGAGATAGCACGTTTCATGCTGAGCTGAGGGTGGTCTCCAGCTTGGTCTTCTAAACATGGGGGGCTCTTTAGTCAAACGGGTAGAGTCCATGGATCCAAAAACTGCCCAGCGCCATCCACGTTTAGGGCGGCTAACGGAGATCCTTTGACACACACCGTCACGCAAAACACCGCTTCAAAGGATTTCACACTCTTCTTCTTGAACCTCATGAAGCCACGCACTTTCGTCGCTTGGTCCTTTTTCGGTGGACTTCAACATGACACCCTCAACATGACACCCTACTTTCAGATCTATGGAGATTTGGGATCCACTGAACTCTCTTCACGGCAGCCCGGCAAGGCTTGCCCGGATGAGTGCTCGGATGAGGAGGAGGCTCCGGCTCCTCCTCCGCAGCCAGCAGAGGTGGCGCCTAGGTGCGGCGCCATTTGATCGACTATTGTATACGGCTCGGTAGACCGGTCAACGATTTCGTATTAGTGAACGATTCCTAACATGAAGGCAGATGTAAGAACACCCAACAGATCCCAAGAGCCTTTGGCTTGCACTGGTGTGCTGCAATGTTGCGGAGAAGTTCAAGAGAAATTGGGAACACCGCACGCTTGCGGCCCTTGGCCTTCTACACTTGGAGAAGCCTGACGCGGCCGCAGCCGAAGCTGCGTATCGCAAGATGTGTCTCGTGACCCATCCAGACAAGGGGGAGCGCTGATGCATTCACGCAAGACACCTATGCAGTGGTTGCCGCCGCAGCTGACTCAGGTGGCCCTGTCCAGCCTCCACCAACATCGGAGTGTGGAGATGCGAGAGGACAACCGCCAGGCCTGACGGTGTACCACAACCTCTTAGCGCAGTGCTTCCATGGCGGATACTGGTGGCGAGTAGCTGATGCTCCATGCAAAAGCTGTGGCAAGAAGGGCTTCAAGAAGCTCTTCTACGCACAAGAAGGCATGGAACAAGCAGCCTGCTGCCACGGTGCCACGGCGAGTGGTGCAAATAGTTTTGGGTGAAGGGCTTGATGAGCTCAGGTCAACCTGGATGAGCCTTGGCTGATCTACAGGCGCGTGAAACAATGAATTCAACTCCATACGTGTATTTATATATATATATACAAATGCACACGCGCGCGCGACATCACCATTGCTAAGGGCCGTGGATTTCAACGCCGAATGCAACGCGCAAGTGAGAGCGACGGAACTTGACCCAGAAACGCGTGGCCGCCAATCGCCCGAGCTAACCTAAACTTGTTATCGTGGGGTCGAGAACACCGGTCTACCGCTTTAAGGTGCTTTGAATACGAAGGCCACCGCGACTTGGAAGGCGCGTGTTTATAGTTCATGAGTCAGTGTCGTGGCGCGGGCAAGTTTCCAATTTGTATGCTTTGCCCTGTTGTCGCCTTGCTCAGTTGTTTCCGCCGCTATCGATGCAAATGAGCCCCTGTGTGCGCGCGCGTGCATTTTGAGCCGTTGGATGCGAAGCAGAGCCGTTCGTGCAAACTGTTTCCACGCCCGCCCTTCGGTCCGCGCCGTATGAAACCCAAAGATGGTGAACAACAAATTCGAGGTCGCGTGCATATGGGCAGTTGCCAAAAGGCGCGCAACGGTTTGCGTCATCCAGGAATGCAGCAATGACTTTAGTAGATTTTGTAAAAATATTCATATACACACACATACTACATACAAAACTCATTAAACACACCGTTTTTGCATTGCAGGCAACGTCGCTTACCTTCAGCCCGCATGCCCGATAAAGCACCCTGGCCCCGGGTTTCTCTTCTTGGCGTGTTGCTGATTTTTCTTCGCCAATACAACTTTTAAGTGTGCTATTTGATGACTGTTTCGAGGCTTTGTTGTTTTTCACGCTTTTCATCCGTTTGATTCCTTCCGTCTTGTCTCCCTGGTTCTTTTTTCTAAGACTTGCTAAATTTCGCGATTAGAAAAGTTTCAGGCTGTTTTGGGGTGTTCAGACAACCTGGAGCCACTGGGGTGGCTTCAAAAAAATTTGCTTGGTGCAAATCCATTAAAACCATTTGGTTTATAAGTGCAAAAGGCAAAAAAGGCATGGAAACCAAGCAAAATGAACAATGCTCATGAAGTGAACACAGCAGTGGAACCCCAGAATCTCGGTGAACATGCGTGAAAATACTAAACCTAGGGTCACAACTTACACTCCTGAGCAAGAGACTATATAGTTGGAACCAAAGCCGTTTGCCTTAATCGATACCTGCAACCTCGTGGTTGTTTTTGTTCAGCATACATGGTTTAGGCCTGCGAACCACACAAACATCCACAACCGAAATAAACATCCGCTCTAAAAACACGTTCAGGAAAAGGAACGCTGGTGGCTCACCAATAAACACCCTTAGCTTGCGTACAAGCGCCGCTCAAATATAAGGCTGTGACTCCAAAGGAAGTTTTTCACGCCGCAGATCGAAAAACATTCTGAGAAGGTCCCAGACATACTCCCTACTCTCTCTCTCTCTCTCTCTCTCTCTTTCTGTATCTTTCTTTGGTTTTTTGGGAAGACATGGGAAGACCCAAGACTCAAGACCATCTGACTGGTGTCCGTCCCAAAAGTCCAGGAAGTTATGTACTCAGCTACTTTCCCTCACATCATCCAAGACAAAAAACATGAAATCAACATCAAATATGAAATCAGTTGAAAACATGAAATCCGAATACCAAGCAGGTATCATGCACTTGCGGGTATTTTTTGGAAGGTCAAAAAGCTTGAGATCGGTAAAACAAACGCTCTGAGGAGGTGGTCCCAGGTATACTCCCTATTCCCTATCACCTGACCCCCCCTCTCGCTCTCCCGAGATCTCTTGGATGGAAAGAATTGGAAAGAACAACGTCGGGAGTTCCCAGAAATGGGGCGTGACCGCGCACTATCCGGGGAAGCTGGCAGGTGGCCCCCGATGAGATGATGCGATCCGGAGTTCCCGGAAGTGGGCAGCGTGGCCGCGCACTATCCGGGGAAGCTGGCAGGCACGCCCCCCCAAAACATTGATTGAAGTTGATGAAGAGAATAATGAGTAAGAGAATGAAGTTGATGAAGGGAAGAACGTGGTTGAATTGGATCGTGAGATTGATGAAGAGATTGAATTGGAACGTGATTGAGTTGTTGAAGCAGAGATTGAAGTGGATTGTGAGTCGTGATTGTTGATTGCGTTATGCTTTTGGCCCTTCTTAATTCACCGAGTTTGAGGCGGCAGAGATTGTTGTATATATATATATATATATGTATATTCGCTGAGTTCCTGGCGACGGGCGTGTCGTATTGAACGGTTGCATGTTGTATGGAGGTCATCCAGAGGCGGCGTGCAACTGCAAAAAGTGGCACCAAGTCAGCGGCTGCACCGGAGCAGAAGCGGCGTAAGGACTGAAGGACGATCTACAATCTGCGGGCGTGTCGCATGTTTTGGGACACTCCGCTGTGAGCGATGCCAGGTGATGGCCAAAGGTGGAGACGCTTCAGGCCTAAGAGAGGGTCTACGGCTAGAAGCCGCGGATGCCATGCAGGCATCATAGAGTAGGTGGTGCGGGCGTGTCGCATATTTGGGACACTCTGCGGTGAGCGATGGATGCTACGGGGCGCCGCGAGGAAGCGCTCTGAGACATTTATTTTCCAATTCAGTTGCCAGGCAGAGATGGGGCCGTGTTAGCTGCGAAGCTTGGTTTCCTCAAGCAATCATGCCAGGCAGGCGCATGGTTTCACATTTGTCATTCAAGCAAGTCGAGTTTTGTTTTTGTTTGATACAATTTTGTGGCGTTTGTCTGAGGACGCTGTGGGCCACAACTTTAGTGCAACGCAGCAGTTCCGGTGCGCCCTGCCAACTTATGCGGAGGATGTGCAAAAGCTGTGCCAAAGTCAGTTGGCCTCCTGCCCTTTAAGGTACTAGAGGCTCGCGTTTTTGATGCAAGTGCGCGGCCCAAACCCAGCGCGTCAGCGCGACAGCGTGGCCACAACAACATCGTGCTAGCGCGTTACTGTGGCCCGTGTCAGAGTGAACACGCGTGACAACGTGTCGTGCTGCAACGCCGTGTCAGTGTATCAGCCCTTTCCGACATACTTGCCAGTCGGCACGCATGGGCGTGACACCATTATCGTTTTTATTTTGCGCTCACATGGCACCCTGTCACCATATCGGCAGACAACACCGCAGCGTGACAACGTGTCAGGGTGTCAGCGTGACATCATGTTTGCGTGTGAGCGTGACAGAGTGACAACATGTTACGTTAAAATGCCGACGTAACAGCGCGCGCCTTACAAACGTCAGCGCATCTCCAAAGCGCTCCGGAACCTCCTCCGAATGGAAGCTGCTCCAAAGCCGCCTCTGGGAACCTCCTCTGCTCCGGAACCTGTTCCGGAACTTTCTCTGGAGCCTGGCCCGGGACCTGATGCCTTGAATGTGCTTACTGTGGTTGAAGAGCCTCAAGCTTCGCTGTTGGGAAAAATTGTTTTGTTGGCGCATTTTTTGGTTCTGAGGAGTACATCCATCGCTTGGGGCGGTGTGGCCGAGCTGGTGCCAAGGGTCACGGCTTGCTGTTGCTCCATGACTTTGAGGAAGGCCAGGAGTGATATGCTGTTGTGTGGGTCTGCGTCGCCAAAGTCACGAAGCAATAATTCAGGAAAACGTAAATCCATGTGACTGGGCAATGAATATCCAGCATGTTTGTTTGTGGCATGTGAGGCAATGTGGGGCAGTTAGCCAAGTGAGGGTTTGTGGACAAAGTCTATTAAACGTCGAACTAAACAACACTTAATTTCTATTAGCCCTTTTCGTTCCGAACGCGTGTTTTAGTTTCCAGAGCCGACGGACGTTGACCCAAAGGAAACTTTTGGAGTGGAGTGGATCATGCGGTTTTGATCTCCGCAGTTGTGGGAGATGTCGCCGTGTGGTGAAAATCCAAGTCGATGCATCGCGGTGCCACGTTGAGTTGCCCGAAAAGATCCAAGTAAAACTATTAGGCATATTCTGCAAAAATTTGTTTTGGTTACGTTGTTTTGTGGAGATATGAACATGTATACATTAAGTTATATGTATATTCATATTATCCCCCTGGCAATTTCTTCTCTAAAATGAGGGGTTGTGCCCCAAAATCAGCGCAGCTTTAGGTAAGAAAGATTTGCTGTTACCATCTCAAGACCCTACATTGACAATTCTAGAGATTTTTTTTTGTGAAATGTTCATATGCAAATTTGAACTCTACAGAGAAGAGGTGTGAACGCACAGAATTCAGTCTTGCATTTTAGAGAGAGTGCATTTGAGAGTGCAACATTAGGTTTTGATTCTATAAGAAACCCGTTTCTACTGCTTTGCTTTGCTCAACCATGCTGTTGGGATGAAAACAGGTTTGATAACATTATGTTGTACAAGGGTACATGAAAGCTACCAAACAATATCAAAACATATTAAAACATATTAGTTTAGAGCATTACAATTTGTGTGAGATGACATGAAATGACAATATTTTACACTAGACTTCCATAGAAGTCCAAGGAGAACATATCATAAGAACTTGCAGCTGCTGCTCATGGATATGGAATCACATCAAATCAAAGCAAATCACTAAATTGGAGTCATTTGACTCTAAAATGCTTCTTTCTAGAATTCTAGAATTGAAGACTTCTGGCATGTATCTCATCAGTTTCCTGCTTGTTTTTAGAGTGGGCCAGGTGAGGGGCAAATCTTGTGGATTCTAAGGGTCAACCCCCTCATTTTAGAGTGAAGGGGTTATGTATAGGTTTTTATTTTAGAGACAACATTGGACCCCAAAAACAGGTTTAGGTCTCTAAAATCAGGGGCACTACCCTCACCTGGAATTTTTTCAAGAGGATTTCAATTTGTTATATATATATATATTTATATCCTTGGTTTTCAGCAGTAAACCAAGCATGTTTGCCAGGCAATTTGTTTGCTCCAGGCCCAAGGACCATCAGGTGTTTGCATGGAAACCCTGCTTGGTCTGAATGAGGTTGTTACCTTCCAAACCAAACGCGTTCACCACCCGGCCGAGTCCGGCCCAAACGTTTGGCAACCTTCTTCAACCTTCCGTCATGATGTGTCGCGGTGATCCTTGGAGATCATGTGTGGGAGGTTTCTTGGAACAACTCTCTGACTTGGAGATCATGGAAGAGCCTTTGAGCCAGATGACCGAGGCCCGCCGTGGGCTGTGCCGGCGTAGGTGGCGTCACGCGTCCTACACGCACGAGGTGTTTTGGGGATATCAAGAAATGGTGAACCGCAATGTGAGACGGGAAGATAGTAGTACGAGCAAACTTGAATCATTGAATTTCAGATAGCAAGACCGTTGGACTTCTTCTAACTATACCATTTCTGTGCCAAGATTGCCCTGATCCGTTGTCCTTGCCGAAACAACATCCTTTGCATGTCCTATTCCTTTGTCTTTATCCGAACTTTACTTAATTGAGCTGCGGGCCCTTGGTTTCTTAGCGCTTGAATGGATCACAAACGCATTCCTCAGAGGGCACACGGAGAGTGCAGGACTTGCCCGACTTCATCAAGATGCCGATTGCCAAGAACGTCAAGGCTCAGGCATACTACTCCAGGACGTGGGCATGTGCAAGGTACACAAGTCGCAAGTGGGTTGCAGTCACGTCACGTGGGCCCAGCTAGTAGCCCAGCTAGTAGCCCATATGCTCACCTGTCTTTTGGGATGGACTGGTAGTCATGTAGTTTAGCAGGGCGAAGGTCCAATCAACGCCCTGTGAGAGGATGATCATGCAGTTTGCTGTTGAATATGGCATGCGACTGAGGGCTTTCTCAAAGAACAGTCTGGATGCCCTCGATGCATGGCTGGGTGGTTTCCCACAGATGCACAGACTGCTCATCCAATCATCTCCCTTTGTTTCCCTCTCTGAAAAGCGCAATTGTTTGGCTTTTGTTCCATCCTCCTCTTTCGCACCTCCCAAACAAAACCACCAACAATCCAACACGCTCTGCATTCTTCGGATCGGATTCTGATATACTTCGTGTTCGCGCACCATCCGCACCATATGCACCTTTCTATTGTATCTTTCTGTATCTTTGTTCGTCTCGGGCGAGGATCAACCACGTGATGCGGAATTCCACCGCCGATCTGCTGGAGATCATGCGCGAGGCCCACCGCTTCGCCCGCTCCATCGGCGCCACCGACGAGGAGTCCGCGCGGTCGAGCGGAGGGGGTGGAGCGGAGACCGGTGGAGACATGGAGACCGTCACTCCCTGGGGAGTCCGAACATGGAGATGAAGAAAAAAAAGTGTAGTTATATATATATACACATAGTGATATGTGGTATGACTATGTATGACTACGATATATATATATATATACACACTATATTGTTTGCATGTACAGCCTATAAATACTCCGCTAGGATACTGCAGACACGTGACTTACGACATATTTTGGCTCAAGGTGAAAAGGCGTTCCGAAACGTCGAAACCTCGTTTTCATGGTAGCGCACGAGTCCGGTGAAAGCGAGAGGGACAAAGCGCTGCGCATAAAGGAAGAGAGACACAAGAAAGTTGAGAGCTCCGAGGAGGAGGAGCCGGAACCATCGGGAGCGGCAGCTTCTGCCGCCCCGATTGGAACAGGAGGAGAAGGAAAAGTAAAAGAGGAGGAGGAGAACAAGCCTTTGCCAGCCACAAAAGGCGGATCCAGCCGCAAGCACCACTCCAGCGGTCGAGAAGACCGCAGAAACAAAGGAAGAAGAGGAAAATACAAAAGGAGTGGAAGGACCAGGAGAGGAAGAAGAACCTGAACAAGACCCGACAGTTGAGCCAGAGGCTGAAGCGGCTGGTTCAGCCGCACAGCCGCCATCTGGCCGAGTTATCGCCGATTTCATCACCTCCCCAGAAGGTGTCAAAACAGGTTGGGAAGTTCGTGGCATCCACGCCAAATATACCCCAGCCAAGGTTGATCCCAAAGCACCTTGGAGGAAGCAGGTGAAGAAGCAGATTTGGGGCCAAGTCAAGAAGCACCCAGAACCAAAGTCCGGATTCCGACTTCGAAGCAGAGTTTCGCTTCAGTATCGGAAGCTCAAGGACCTGGTCAGGTTGCAGAAGAAGCAGGGTGTCATTACAGAAGACCTGAGGAGGCGCATCAAGGACTTCGGAAAGGAACGCCCGCCACAAGAGATCAAGGAAGAGCGGGAAGAGCAGAAAGTCCGCAACAGAGAGAGGCGAGCCAAGAAGAAGAGTGAAGCGGCTGATACAGCCGACGAGAAAGAAGAAGAAGAAGAGAGCCTATCGGAAGAAGAGACTTCCGTGAGATTGAAGGAACGGAGCCGCACCTCAGAGCCGCGATACAAGCCGTGGCCGAGCAGTCTGGGGTCGAGCTTTGGAACTCAATCTCCGAATCATCACCCTGGCCAATCAGCGAGCCCAGAATCAGCCGATCGAGAATTGGAAGCTGGAAAGTCCATTCCAAGTGAGGAAGATTGCGGCTGACAAGTTGGTGGAGCAAAGGGGCTTGAAGGGATCCATCGCACTTGCTGCAATCAGGGAGCTTTGGAAGACTCCGAACGAGCAGGGCACGCGAGGATCCGGTGAAGCTTGCAGCAGCTGCGACGAGCGCAAGAAAGCGCAGCTTCCTGCCGTCCAAGCCTACATCAAGGCAAGAGGATTGAAAGGTCCAGCAAGGCTTGGAGCAAGTGCCAAGGCAAAAGTTGAGCCTAAGGCAAAAGGAAAGGCCAAAGCAAAGGCCAAGGCCGCACCTTCGATCGGCCGCAATCCAGAGGAGTTGACCTCTACGGGAACCCGGACCACTTCACAGGTCCGCGAGATCCCAAAACCTTCTTCTGATCCTTCCCAAGGGTGAAAGCCCTTGGACCGGCCTGGTAAGGGGCCGGAGATCGGACGAACCGTCCGCAGCTGAAAAGGTGCGAGTGCAGCGCCTTTGGGAGTTTGGGACCGGGTCAAAACCATGGCTTGAGAACAACAGATACAGCAGTTGTCTGATATGGTTTTGCAACTTCAGCAAAACCAGGCACGTTTGGAACAGGAAAACCAGGTGGGGAATTCCGAAAGTGGGCTAGGAGCATAGACAACTTGTTTGTAACTACCTTTGGGAGAGAGTTCATTGAAATCCTTGAGTACATCTTGGAGCAAGAAGACACGATTGAAATGAGACGCATGGAGTCGGAATTCGGGGCTGGTACTGTGACAGACCTTGAAGATTTGGAGGACAAAGCGGATCAAATGCATCGTGTCCTCTTGACCCTTACCTCAGGTGAAACAGAGGATTTGATGGTAGGAGCTTCAAATGGATTTGAAGCATATCGAAGGGTTCACCGCCGCTGGGATCCCCGAACCTCGGGACGGAAACGCAATATTCTCAGAGCAATCCTCCAACCCGAACGAGTCAAAACGTGGACTGCTGTGAGGCCAGCGATCGAACAGCTCGAAGAACTCATCAGGAGGTACGAATCCCAGAGGACTGCCGCAGGGACAAGGGGAACTCTATCGGACGACATTAAGTCCGCCTGAGGTGTCAGCAAGACGATGTCTTCCGGAGTTTGCCTTGCCAGCTGAAGAGGCACCCAGTCGCAGGAGATGCAGGTTCCAAGACGAAAGTATACATGAGTCCCAGGTACACAGAGTCGTCACCAGATCTAATGAACTTGCTCAACAGCCCAAAGAAGGCGTCTTGGGTCAGCCAGAACTTGCAGCAAAAGTTGGCCATGGTTGGAAATGGTTGTGATCACAAAAAATCGATCACCAAGTTGTGCCAAATGGCCCACATCCTCATGGGTATGTCCAACGCAGAGGTGCTCAATGCTGACTTGGGTAAAAAAGCCAGCCCCTGTCATAGAGGCGCACCAGCCTCCAAAGATTCCGTTCTTGCATTCCTGGGGCATAGTGAGGTGGGTCTTGTATAAGGCCAGGAAAGTTGAATTCCTTCCATACTGCCTGCCCCAAAACATAAAATCACCAAAGATTGACACTGATTTAATCATGTTTGGTTCTTTGGGCGTGTTGTCTGCCCATAGTTTCAACACATTTGGCCAGCTGTAACCACGCTGTTGTGCTTGGCGATATGCAATGTCCAGTGAACGGTTTAGGACTTCAATGACCCATGAGGATCCAGTCGCCTCCCCTTCGTCCGCAATGGCCACATAAATCAGTCTTCCATGAACCATGCTACAAGTAACTTCACAATCTGGACGATTGAGGGTGCTCAAGTTCTTGGGGATGTGCCCGCCCAAGAACCGGGGGAGACAAAACTTCCCCTTGTCCATGGAATCCGAAATCTTTCGCGCTTGGCCTGGGTCCTCAACTGCCAGTATATGGCGCGGTCCTGGAATTGACCCACGAGATGCCTCATGAGTTCATCGGAGGCCTGGGCATGGGAGGATATGTCTTTCGCGTGTCTGAGCATCGATTTCAGCTTGTGGCATATGGTGCAGGCAGTGTGTGAAGACAGACATTGAGGGCTTTCTTCCATCCACTCTCAGATAGGACCTTGTAAAAGGTACTTGGTGCAGCCACACTCAAACCCTGCGCTGACTGGAATCCAACATACAAGTGGTACAGGTCAGAGGAGGTACCCGGCGGGAGATACCGCCGCACCAATTGAGCAGGGTCCAGCTTGTACACTGTCTGTGACAGGTCTGATTGAAATGCTGAATCCACCAGGTATTTCAAAAGTTTCTGCTGCACCGGCTCGGTAGCTAAAGGTTCACCAGGGTCGTGAACTTTTAACCTCATGCAGTAGACTCAAAGAACTCACAAAATGATTGTTAAAAACAGGATTCCCTCAGCTGTATGAAGGCAGCCCGGTAACTCGTGAGGCAAAGTCTCTCCCAAAGACCAGTACATCCTTTCTAGGAAAGAAAGGACTGAAGCAGATGCCTCTGCAGTTCGAGAGCTAGCGTTGCCTAGGTTTGTGCCCGCACACCCTGTAACTGTAGAAACATAAGTGGAATAAAAACAATCAAAAGCTGGACACTGTCTAAACTTAGAGCCAGTGTGCCATACTTGCGTTTATCTTCCCCTTTGAAGTTCCTGCGACATCGCACTACTCGCCATGAACCGACTGCAAGTAGTCTGCAAAATGCTTCCCGGCAGACCTGGATGCCTCAGGGGCAGGCCCCAAAAGATTCCAAAAGGTTGTCAAGTTGAGTCTCTTCCTAAACATCTCAACAAGGGTTCTTCTGGGCACCCCGTTCCTTCAATGAACCATTGATGTTGCATTCTCTCGGAAGATGAAGAAGACGTGCGTTCGTTCTCATTCTGGTCACCCCCCTCTGAAGATTCACTATCGGCACTCTCAACTAGTGGACGGGTATTTTGGATTCCCCAGAGCAGGCAGTCTTGGGCTGACTTGCTCAGGCCCCAAAACAGGCAGCAAAGTCAAAAAAATGTTTTGAAGTTCACTTGTTTGTAGCATCGCCGAGAACAGTTGCAAGCCCCTTCCTTGAGTATCTTTCTAATCCTTTCTTCGCTCTTCCCATTGGAGGCTGCAACTGACGAATCTTCTGTCCCATCTTCCCCCGGAAACATGGACATCAAATCACATCGCCCTGAGGTTGTCCGCTGCTTCTTGCAAGAAGGCTCTGACAGCTCGGAGAGGCTGGCACTATAGGTTGAAGAGGAGCTACTGTCAGAAGAGCTGCCACTGCCATCCACGTCAAAACGTTGCAACATGTTTTAGAGTCACTATGAGCAAGCACTCATTTTGTGGTACATATTGAGCAACTTAGTTTGATGTCGCTTGCCTTGTGTTCATGACATGCCATAATGTGTTTACGTTGGAAGTGTGTTGAAGATATCCACAAAAACCTCCTCATATCTGCATGACGCTTGAACAGCGTTACCAAAAGGACCAGGACATTAAATACAAACGCCATGAATACATATGAATACAAACTGCCAGGATTGAGGCCATTCCTATAAGTCTTAGGTGCCTTGATGTGTGGGACCTTTTTTGCACCATGGCGGTTAAGACCACCGCGATCTAAGTCATATCGATCTGGGATGAGCTAGGTCACATCGAAGACTCATGCTTCTTTCTAGCTGCCTTGCAAAATTCATGGATACTTGCGGCTGATAGGGCGGCCAAGAACGCAGCTGATACGCATTTGGTGTGCATAGCCTCAGATACCAGCATGAATCCCATATGAATCCTAGCCCCTATCTGAGTATATGTTCTTTTCT